GCACAATACTCTCCTTTGAACCAACTTTCCTTCCTCCGAGCCAGTTACAATGATCCATACAATGACTGCGCATCACCACAGAATGTTACATTATCATACCCCAGACTGGCTAAACTCAAAACCGCTGTCCTCAAGGCCTTAGCTTCTGCTTCCATTTCAGTTGACATGGGCTTAGTTGTTCCCGAGCCCTGGAGTAAGACTCTCATTTTTATCAACGAGAGTCCATCCTAATCCAGCTGCTTGATGAGGGGAAACCCAGGAGGCATCTACAAAACAACTTAGATGCTAAGCCTGTTGAACCACCTGTTGCACTGATCTTGGAACCATATTCTGACATTGATAATGAACATGCTCACTCATTTCAGCTTGTTTATTGAGATGATCAACTTCCATCCAAGACCGCAAATCTAACATTGTAGAGCTGAGAACATCAAGCAGTCTTCTTCTCCATCCTTTGAAAACAATATCATTACGGTGCTTCCATATCCTCCATGACAAAAAGTAAAATAGCTGAATTTGATCAGCATTGTTTAGCCTTAAAAACTCCTCATAATTGTCATGAAGACTACAAGATAAAACACAGTGCCCATCTGGTTTCCTAAGTGGGGCTAATTCCCATATCTCACGACTTATCCTACAAGTAAAAAGCAAATGATTCACCGATTCTTCCACTTCCCCACACATAGGACAAGTACTATCCTTCAACACATGTTTCTGCTATAAATTTCTACCAACCGGTAATGCATCATGCAACACCTTCCACCAAAAATGTTTAACTTTGGGAGCTACATTCACTTTTCAGACACTCTTGTAAAGATTTTTTGGAGTTTTGGACCACTGACCTTTATGGGACCGGATAAGATTATATCCTGACTTCACCGTGTACTCTCCATGTTTAGTATACAACCAGGTTAACATATCAGAAGTTCCTGCAATAGATGGATTAACTATATTAACCAGTGGAATATCATCTTCACACCCTAGCATTTGCAACTTATTATTATCCCATTCAGTAGTCCTTGCAACAAACAAATCTTTAACTTTCAAATCTGGGTACAAGGATTTTCTAGAACCTGATAATGGCTGTGAAGGAGTGATCGGAAGCCACTGATCTTTCCACACTTGGATTATCTCTCCGTTTCCTACCATCCACTTTATTCATTTTCTTAGCAAATCACTTCCTTTAAGAATGCTTTTCCAGCCCTAACTTGAA